CCAAGTTACCTACGTCAATATTCTCAAGCCTGTCTTGAGCAACATCAGCTCGAGCGGCGTCGTCGCAAAGGCAGATAATCTTCGCGAGCGTGCTGCTGAAGCAACCGAGTAAACTGGATTATGTTATTAATGCTGGCTTGATCATAGAACATTTTTTTCTTCTCTTCTTTCTCTTCCTTTTTCATTCGTCCATGTCGTGCTTCTGCTCCTCCGTAACGTACTCTCATCCCGGCTTTTCTTTTTCATGTATGCTGAGTCCTTGACGAATGGAAACGAAAAGCTTACCGTTATGCGTAGATGACGCGTGTGACGTCAATGGTGCAGTCTAAGACATTCACAGCCGGAACCATCCTATGGTTGGACTAGGAAAGCCGTCACCTTTCATAGACGTAATCCTGCAGGGGATATACGAGGGATAGTCCTAGAAAATTAGGGATTTTTACTCCCACCGGCGCCAATCACTCTGTTGCTGTGACAAACGGCTGCCTAGTGATCGTAATTTCGCTTTACGAGATATTCCGGACATTTCCGCCTGTTATCCCAGACGATTCGCGCCCTCACGACGCGATCTTGACCTCATACAACGATCATGTTCTGCGCGGAATGGCGTAAGGGCGGGACCACCATCTATGGATGTCCCGACAATCCTTCCTTCTTGTCGTCTTTGACTTGCGAAATGTGCTAATCTGGTGTTCGACGAGGGTCGGTGTATGCTCTAGGCTGCAGTAATTGTTTCCCCTTACTTTTATTGCACACCGATAGGCGGGCCGCTCGCGACTTAGGATAGACCAAGTGAAGGACTCGCCTCGACGTGACCGTGTCTTTATCTACTCTCCCATACGCTCTCCGGCCATCTCCGCGCGAGTTCAAGGCGGTCTAATTTTATTCCTCCTCCTCAGCACCAATCACTCTGCAGTCTTTTCAAAATTGCACCAAGTTGTATTCCGGCTATGATCGATGACGACAGCACTAGTGTACAGTCCTGATTCTTCCATTGGCTTAGCGGAAGATCCAAGTGCGCGCGTCCGCATGGTCCCACCTCACGACGCGTTTCTGAGTGATCTTGACCTCAGCACCGCGATCACGTCTCTCTGGGATTTCTGATCCCCAGCAGCATTCTCTGTGAATAATGTCAAGACCTACTGCATCCCTGTACTTGTAAGCTTAGGTCATCGCAATTCATTTCACTTAGCTGTTCCCTAATCAATTGACCAGACTTTTGGAAAACGGTTGAAAACAGGATCCCCGACAATATCAGCATAAGCGACACTGCTGTGTATGTACGAGATGAGTACCGCAATAGCATGATGTTCTTTAAGGTTAGGCGCTGATTGTACGTTCATAACAATTCACGATTCTACGTAAGAATGGTTGCTTCTAGCTTTCAACGATCTTGAACAATCAACAGAGCATATTTCATACCACATTTCTTCGATTCATTACAAGGTGACCTCAAAAGCATACAGAAGGATCCTAATCTGCCTGCACTTGAACCTCGCTGCCTACAGTTTCTAAGTTCCCTGGCCCTGCCATACTCGTTATCAACATCAGCTGGAAGGAAGAGGAAATAATGATCAGTGATTGAACCAAGTATCTCTCGTAGGCCAGCTTACTCTTGAACTGCACAGAATGTCTGAGTATGAGAATGGAACTAAAGCAAGAGGGAGAATACTCATCACGGCAACGATCTTCTTGTTAGTCCAGAAACCAATTACGACACGACCTTTGGCGTCAGTGTTGGCCTCGTACGAAGGATATTGCTGGATCCAAATATCGTTCTCTCCTTTGAGGACTGAAATCTTTGGCCTGGAGAAGAGCGTACCCGCAATCCCGCAATACGCGGGATATTGTCGAAAGCTAGGAGGTGGGTCAGTTCATAGTGCGACGCGCTGCACCGAGCTACACGCCGGGATTAAGTGGCTTGCTGGTAAACTTTTTCCTGTCGCTCTCGACGGTGACGATATTGTTCAGCACCGTGACATATGCTTTTGCGTTCTGCACTTTCGCAGGGACGTCAGCGAGCGTTTTTAATGCGTCATGGAGGCTGGCCTTGTGGGCATAGCCGTGGGCATGAGCAATGAGCAAGAGAAGACCGTCTTCATGAGATAGCTTGGTGGTAGGAGTAAGAGCAGGAGCCATTGTTGTAGCGAGAAGATGGTTTGGATGTTCGACTTGATGGATAGTCGTGGTTGACTCCTTGCTGTTATACAGTGTTGGGCCAGGTGTGATGATGAATCATAATAAACAGGTCTCTGAGCGGGACTGAACATTTCGAACTGCGGGCCCTGGTGGAGCATCGCCAGTAGCATAAAGAGAATTCAGCTGGATTCTGAGGGATTGAGCTAAAGGTCACCGACAGCAGAAATGAAGTCACCTGCGTCATATAGAAGGACCAAACACCGAACGCCAGTGACACCTCAGTACTTGATGCTATCCAAACTATTATTGAGTAAGAAGAGCTCGAATCCAGATTACAAACTGGCCATTTTGGCTTTTCGTTCGCTTTTCGACATTTCGCATTAAGTAGCCGTTGTGCATAACTTGCGTCTTTGGGGTAGAGAGAAAATGCCAAATGGAACCAACATCGTCATTTCAGGCGTGCTCACAGGTACGTGGAGGCTAAAATTTCTAGGCAGGTCCTGAGGGAAGAGAGATACCAGTCGAAGTGTCTGACGTTGTAGGACAGTCCATGAACGTTGTGAGCAGCCTGAGCTTTCTCGCGTGGCGGTCCCGGGCCGATCTTGCCGAACGTCGTTAACTTGATGCCTCCCACCTCAGGCCTGAGGCATCGCTTCTATTCCATGGGTCCAATCACTGTGCAGTCTTTTCGAATCGCGCCACCCATGGGTTCAAGTTGCATTCCGCCATGATCGATGACGACAAGACTAGTGGACCTTTCCCTACAATCCTGATTCTTCCATTGGCTTAGCGGAAGTTCCAGCTAGGAACTAGGTGCGCGCGTCCACATGGTCCCATCTCACGACGCGTTTCTGAGTGATCTTGACCTCATACCGCGATTACGTACCCACCGAGCACTCTATTCTGGGATCTCTGATCCTCAGCGGCGTTCTCTGTGCATGCTTCACTTCGAGTCTTCAACTTCGCCACCTCTCATGACCCGGCTACCTATCTGCACTCTATTATGGCCGTGCGGCAGCATATGCTCCCACCGTCAACTTGGCATCATATCGCGCCTTCTTTCCACCCCTGGACAAATTCTGTAATCACGCTCCATCCTTGGACGATTGCACTATCCAAGTCACGGATTGCGAGAGGGGTGGAAGGGTGGGACTGAACAAAAACGGGCCGTGAGCGGTTTAAGAACTCATCATTCAACCTGGTGGTGCTTATCATTGCGGTCTCTCATGTCGTCGAAGTTTGACGAGAAACGCGCAGACTCGGACGTTGTCCTTGCTGATAACCTCTCCTTGGATGAGGAGCACAGGAACCTTGGGGGTGCCCCCATTGAAGACTCGAGTCCGATGGGGAAGGACGTCGGTTGGTGGACGGCGGTGTTTTTGAACTTTTCCCAGATGATTGGGACGGGGATCTTTTGTGAGTAGGAATCTTTGATCTTTGTTGCGCGTGGAGGCTAACAGTTGGTGGTTTAGCGACGCCTGGAACTATACTGAGGCAGACTGGTAGTTTTGGGTTGGCTATGATTTGTGAGTTACAGTCGAGATTTTGTGTATGGGACAGAGGAATGATGCTCGTTACCTTTAGTTTGGGTTATCGGGTTCTTCCTTAGTGCTGGTATGTTACCTCCATACTACGGCTTGGATACTAGCTCAGACGGGGATTTACAGCGGGTTTATCATACTACACGGAATACCTCGCCATGTTCCCGAATAGGGCTGGAGCCGAGGTAGCTTATCTGGAGCAGGCATATAGTCGGCCCAAGTTTTTGTGCGTTCAAACGGCTTCGACTTATCGCGAGTGTTGATGCATGTATTGTTGTGTGGGATAGATTGCCGGTGACCTTTGCGGTTATCACCGTTATTCTTAGTTTTGCGAGGTACGTGATCGGTGATTTAACTTCAATAGCTCTTGAGCTAACCTATCTTGTAGCTCTAATGCTATAGGTATTTACCCGCTTATCTATTGGCCGCTCCAAATCGTGGTACTGACTCCTTCTCTTAGTGTGCGCGGAGTATATACTCTACGCGAATGGGCAAGAAACATACAGTGAATGGACTATGCGAGGAATAGCAATCGCTGCCTATGGGATTGCTTGCATCAGTGCGTAAAATGACTATTCCTGGATCGAAATGCCCTTCTGATCATCGAGCAGTCGTCATCTCCCACAACCGTACAGCGATGTGGATTTCCAATGTCCTCAGTTTCTTCAAAGTGATCATCCTCTGTTTCATTGTCGTCGCAGGATGGGTCGTCCTTGGGGGAGGTACCCGTGTCGAGGACCCCAAGAGCCATTTCAAGAATGGGTTCAGTGGGACCAAGTATGTGTTTGTCGTTTGTGTTCTCGGGTTGTTGGCTGATTTCTTTCTTCAACCCTAGTAATAACGGAAATGCGATGGCAAGTGCTATGATTAATGTCATCTTTTCGTATACGGGTTGGAATAATGGTACATCTCAACAACACTACCGGAGTGAACGTTCATTCATCAGATTCACCAGCCAACAACGTCGCCAACGAAATGTCACGCCCCGTACATACACTCAAGACAGCAGGTCCATTCTCCCTCGGCCTAGTCTTCTTCCTCTACTTCTTCGCAAACAGTAAGATTCATTCTCCTTACCCGTTATCCCCTCCTCATATCTCATTGTCTCAGTCGCCTACGTCGCCGCTGTTCCCGTGTCAGAAGCAAAGAAATCCGGCCAACTCCTCGCTGCCAAATTCTTCTCGGCAGTGTTTGGTACATACGCTGGGACGAGGGTTTTGCCTGTCTTCGTAGCTCTATCGGCGTTTGGAAACTTGGTTGCGGTGGCTATTGGGCAGGGGAGGGTGTTTAGGGAGGTAGCGAGACAAGGTGCGTTTACTTTCCGAGTTTTCATGTTAGACAATCGTTGAAGGAACGGCCCCTTCTTTCTAGGCGTGTTCCCATTCAGCCGTTTCTTCGCTAGCACCAAACCCTTTGGTACCCCCGCCGCTCCAATGCTCCTCAAGTTCGTTCTCACAACAATCGTGATCATCGGACCTCGTATGTCCCCTGCCCGCCCCTCCGTTCTCAGTCTGCCTTACATAACTCAATCCCTCGTTTGAACAGCCATCGGCGACGCGTTCAACCTCATCGTATCCATCCAGACGTACCCCAGCCGACTCTTCGACCTAGCCATGGTCACAGGGATCTACTGGATCCGGCGGAGAAGAGCCAAGGCAGGTGTGCCCAGGCCCGAGTTCCGCACCTGGCACATCGCGCTGTGGTTCTCGATCGCGGTGAATATATTCGTGTTGGTGGTGCCGTGGTTACCGCCTGCGAAGGGTGCGGAGCCGTTTTCGTTCCCTTATTGGGTGCCTTGGGTGCGTGTTGTGGTTTTCGTTTCGTGGAAATTTCGCTTATCTTTTGGGTTTTAGGTTACTGGTATCGGTATCTTGGTTCTCTGTTTCACGTATTGGGTTTCGTGGATGCATATTGCCCCGTGGTTGTTGGGGTATAAGGTGTATGAGGAGGTTGTTCAGCTAGAGAATGGGGAGTTGTCGAAGAGGTTTGTGTATGTGTATAATGATCATCGTGGGGATGAGTTTAGGGAGCGGTTGAGGGTGGAGGCGGAGAAGTTGAAGAAGGAGGAGAATGGGAGTTTGGAGCAGAAGGTGGATGTTACGGTTTAAACGTTAACTTAGAGCTGTCTTCGATTTACAGCTGTTTGCATACAGCTTGACAGTCAGGGGCATTTTCGTGGATGATGAAAGAAGGCTCGGACTTGGTCATAAACCGTGTTTTGGGGACTTCAAGCGCGCAAAAGGACCTCCGAGATCGCCGAAATAGCCATAAACCAGCCATAAACGCGTCTTCAAGTCTATAAACCATGGTTTATGACCAAGTCCAAATTACTCTCTTCTCTCGTGCAAAACACATGCTACTGTCAAGCTGTATGCAAACCGCTGTAATGATTTACGTTTCTTTTCTGGGTCATTTCCGTGGTACCGTGAACTCGTTTTACTGGGGTTTACTGATCTGCTTTGATCCAGAATCTTGATCAATATAATTAAATGGATGCCTATGTTGCCAACTCATTTGTGGGCGTCGTTGTCTTCAGACTGATATCGGTAACTCGGTAACTAGGCTGTGGCTGGAAGGTAGAATTGGGAACATCAGTTTACGTCCATGAGAAGGGTTACTTATTAACAATCTCGTACTTCGCTGACACCCTCGCCGCGGTACCGAGCAACTTTCTTAGTCGAACTGAGAACCCGCGTATGGTGCGGGGTGAGGAGCGTAGTAGAGCTTGGACTGCTTCGCGTATCACAAGAGCTGCGTAAGAAAAGCAGCGCGACAGAATAATGTACGACTTGGCTTCTCACGGAACCGCGGACTTGTTTTAGCAAGGTTTCCCGATGCGCCTTGATCTACTGACAATGTAAATGTTTATAATTAGGCAGTGAATTAACTGAAAAAGGAGCGCATGTATTCAGAATTGACGTCCGCGTTTCACCAAGGAACCCTGGCTTGACAGTAGTGAGAGAAAGATTTGAATAGTACCCACCACAATCAATGAACATCCTTATCAAGCTCGCTCACACGACGGCACTCCCAAGACCGAAACCAAAACTAAAGAGAGAGAAAGGCCAGTTGCTTTCACCGATTGTCGATCCTTATCTAACTTGCATGTTGCGAGTCAATTGAGTGAGGATGTGGACGCACACGAGCTGAGGAGAATCAATACCGGGATCATGATGTCGGAGGCAAGAACCAACCCGTTATCAAGCTCGATTTGACGCGATAATCAACGAGCATGCGTTCAGTTCATTGAAGAGAGGTCCAAGTTTCTGTCGCGGGGAGAGAAGCCGATGCCTCAGTTAATGATAGTATCAGCTGCTGGCTGGAGCGACAGAGCAAAGCCGATTTGGGTCGGAGGCACGGTTTGGGATTCACGCATTCGCCGAGGACGTGAAACACCGCGTGCGTGTGCGTGTGATCCAGACTGGCCTAATCCATATGGAGTACGATATAATTCAACGA